AGCCCCTCTCCGTGAGAAAGATGGCCACTATGATTTACAACTGTGGAGACCCACATGAGGGTTTCTGTGAACTGGAACTGAGTCCAAGGCTGAGTTTGAGGTTTTCTGTTTGATGTGCCAGATCTGATCTAAGTACTTTGTCATAGTTTCTAAGATCTCAATGAAGACAAAGCAATATATTCTAACTGAATGTGCAGAGGGCTGGAATCGAAGGATTAAAAGGGACAAAATAACTCAGCATTTCTCAAGTTCAAAGAACTGAAAAACAAACTCAAGCCTCTGGCTGCAGTGCTATGGGCAAAATCTTAAATTATTAAAAAAAAGGGTGGAAAGAACACACAGAGTCACTGTACCAAAAAGAATTGGCAAACACTGAAATAGTTCAGGAAGTATCATATGAACAAGAGCCAATGGTAATGAAAGAAGAAGTTCAAGCTACATGAAGCCATTGCAAAAAAATAAGGCTCTCAAGAATCCATGTAATACCAATTTATATGTTTCAACTAACAGAAGTGGCTCTGGACATGCTCACCAGTCTATGCCAGAAAATTTGGTAGACTGGCCAATTGACTGAGAGAGGCCAATTGACTGAGAGAGGTCCATATTTGTTCCTATTCTTAAGAAAGATGATACAACAGAATGTGGAAATTAATATGGAAAATAGATGTGCCATTAATATCACAGCAAGCAAAATCTTGCTGAAGATTATCCAAAAATATCTAGAACAATATGACATCTATTAAAAGAACCATTAAAACATTCAAGATATTTTTAAAAAATGGCTAAAACAGTACATTGACAAGGAACTGCCAGAAGTTCAAGTAGGGTTTAGAAGAGGGTGTGGCAGCAGGGACATATCATTGCTGATGGCAGATGGCTGAAAATACAGAATTCCAGAAGAATGTCTACTTGTCACCACAACAAGATAAAGGTAAATAACCCAATAGAAAAATGGGCACAGAATATGAACAGACACTTCACCAAAGAAGACATTCAGATGGCTAACAAGCACATGAGGAAATGTTCAAAATCCCTAGCTCTAAGAGAGATGCAAATCAAAACAACGATGAGATATCATCTCACCCCGGATAGAATAGCAAAATTTAAC